GACTACACAATCAGAGGAAGTAAGAGAGGAAAGAAAGGCAAGGTGGCAGGAATGGTGAAAGCTCCAACCATCTGAATCACCCCTCTGCCCTAAGTAGTTTTTCTCTAAAGATTCTTAACTCTTTGGCAACCATGTCTCCTTTGAAAAACCTTCTCTTTTAAAAAATATGCATGTACACAAATGTGCATCTTTTTGGCCACAATATCAGGGAGTTTTCCTTTAAGGAATCCTATCTCCCCCCTCCAAAAAAGAAAAGAAATCAAAATGATTTGAAACATCAGTCTTATTTCAGCAAAATTCTTCAGAGCAACAATATAAAGTAGAAAATAGGAGGATACTGGTGGGGGAAGGGAAGAAAAAAGTAAAAAGGTGCTGCTTTTATCTTCTCACAATAATCATAAGTGTTTCTAGGCCGAATAAATATAAAAGAGATGACAGAGAGTTACATACTCACATCCATACACACACACACACACACACATACATAGACAAACAGGTAAGTAGATACATAGACAAAAGATAGATCGATAGACAGATAGATAAAAGCAGAAATATACATACAAACACAAAAATACATAGATAAACAAGCAGATAGACAGATACATAAATATATAGAGAGACGGACAGATAGCCAGCTATCCTTTCTGTTCTGCGTAGAATATACAATTTTACTAGAAATCTGCATTCACTTTTCTTTCACACAAGGACCCTTATAATCACCAATAGACATTTCCATTTGCTCTTGGAAAATATCTTCAAAAAGATAAATTTCCCAAAATTTATCAAAAGATGTCCCTAGACTTCTGTCTACCCAAGATACTTTGTCCGTCTGCTTCCCCTGGTTGCAATCTGTCTCCATGTAGGCATTTTCCATCCCCCACTCAATGCAATGTCATGCAGAAGACTCAAAGGAACAGGTAAAAGGATTAGTGGATTGATTGCTGGCTGATATTAATGCTCTTTCATGTAGGGTTGAAGAAGGATTTGAGGTCATCAGGAGAGACGGTAGCAGAATAGACTCAAGTATTGAAAAGACTCTCTGGACTAAAATCCTATTAAACTCCCATCAGCTTCTCCAGGAGGCATTTGAGAAGGTTGGGGTTTCTTTAACATGTCACCATAATTAACCTTCCTTCAAGCTGTTTTAGGTGGGGAACTTTAGCAATTAAGAAACTGAAAAACTTTCATTTTCTATCACCCACATGGCTTTCTGAATAGTTTAAAAACTAGAGTGGAAAGTGGTTTAGCTTAATTGATTTGAGGGGTTCAGATCTCCCACTTGAACCTGCTGTCAGACTTGCCCCTGAGATCTGAGCCCCTCATTAAAAAGGGCATTTTGTCCACAGAAAGAATCAAAGGTTCCGACCTACTCCAATGCTTTTCTTCCTCTGTTCATTCTCCCACTGAGTCCTTCAGAAAGAGCAACTCTGCAAAGGGACAGTTGTTTCCCCTCAAAAGCTGTCCTTCTGGGCCCAGACTTCAAAATCTACCACTGAAACCCAAAGGGTTTCAGGCAGGTGTCATCCCAGCACCCATTGTTTCCCTGGCAGTTATTTGGTTACAAGTAAGTTAATGTCAGGTAGGGGCAGCCATTGTAGGATGGGTGACCAACCATTCCAAGAAGTAAGGGACACAAAACACATGTGGTTTTAAAAGATAAGTTTTCTCTGTTTTTGCTTCATGAGGTCTCCCTGATAGCATCTGTCCTTCTCCTGTATTTACCTGAGTGTCTTATTCTCTTATCAGCCTATGAGCTCCTTAGGAACAGCCACTCTTTCTCTCTCCAGCTGCTAGCACGGAGTGGTGATCATACAACCTTACCCATTACCACATAGAATTCCCTCTGTGCCTTAAGGCAAGTCATGGCCTCTGTTTTTACAATGAAAAATTAAGGAGTCTGTAGGGCTGCATGACCTCTGAGGTCACATTCCAGTTCTTGAAATCTTTGAAAGAGTAGTTATGTACAGGCTGGCTATTTGTGGCTCCTACACCCATGTGGTGATTTACAATAACAATGGTGATAATAGTAAGAATAGAGAACATCTATTAAGCCCTTATCCATGCTCTGCTCTGTTCTTACTGATACATGAGTATGATTTCATTAATCCTGTATGGTAGAGGCTCTTGTTACTCCCAGTGGATACAATGGGAGACTTTGGAGCCAGTGATTTGCTCAAAGTCACACCAAGTGTGGTACGCCCTGGTTCCGGAAACTGGGCTCTTAACTATTGCCACTAACAACCTCCTTTTAGAGCCTCCAGTTCAGGCTATAGCCCTCCGTACATGCAGCTGGTACACATACATCTTCTTTGCTCCCCAAGGGGTGTCTGCCTGCCTGTCAATTGCTTTGATTTCCAATCCCAGAGCCCCAGCTGGCCTGGCCTCCACCTGCTCCAACCAGAGGCGCAGCTTATCCCCAGGATCCAGCAGGCCCTTTGTCCTGAGGGCCTGCAGCTCCTGTTGGGAGCAGGTGGCCGGAAAAGCAGGAAAGGACAGGCATCAGGGAATCCGCCTGGAAGGCTGAAGGGGAAAGAAGGCAGAAGGGACTGAACTGAGGAGAAATTCTGAGTGTCCACCCCCCAAAACCTGAGCCCATTTACATGGCTGTCTACTGTAGGCAATGGCAGATCAGAGGGTAGGCTCCCTGTCTGAATTATACCTACATAGGACAAAAGGACCTTGGGACTGCCTTTTAGAAAGCATTTAAGTGGCCATTTTACAAAATGGATCTTGTCTCATTTTAAGACATCTGTGCCTGTTAAAATGTTATTTTTAAAATTATGTTTAATCCACACATAAGAACTGTACTTATTGTTAGCATGATGAAGGTCCTTTGTTTAATTACTAGCATGATAGAGAAAGAGAGAAAGGAAGGAAGGAAGGAAGGAGAGAGAGGGAGGGAGAAGGAAGGTCTGTATATATTTATAAGGTACCATGTGATGTTTTCACTCATGCATAAATCATGTAATGTTCAAATCAGAGTAAGCATATCTATCTCATCAAACATTGATCCCCTTTTTTACGCTGTAAACATTAAACAAAACTTTTCTTCTAGGTTTTTTTGAAAAGTATATCATTGTATTTTTTTGTTATTTAGTCACTTACTGTACAGTAGAACACCAGTACTGGGAATGTAATACGCTATCAGCTTAAGGTACAAATGTATTTAGTTTCTATGCCTTAAAAGTTTATTTGCTTAAACAGGGGTGTAGAAAGAACACTAGGACTTAATTCTCTTATCTAATGATAACTTCATGCCCAGTGACCAATTCAGCTATTTGTGCTTGAAATCCTCTTAACCTAAAGTTGACTTCAGTGTTTTAGAAAGAAACTTCTGATTTTATAGTAGAAAAACGATTTAAAAACAAGTTCATCTTTGCATTCACACTTACCCAAATGAACTGAAAACTTAGTCCATATCAAAAGCTGCACATGAATGTTTATAATAGTTTTATTCATAGTCAGTCACCAAAAATTAGAAGCAACCAAGATGTCCTTAGATTAGGGGAATGGGTAAACAAATTCTTATAAAGTGCACATAATGGAATATTATTTAGCACTAAAAGAAATGAGTCATCAAGTCAAGAGAAGACACAGAGGAGCCTTAAATGTGTACTGCTACATGAAAGAAGCTAGTCTTTAAGGCTGCATGCTATGGATTCAAACTACATGACATTCTGGAAAAGGAAAAACTACACAGACACAGTGAAAAGATCAGTGTCTGAAAAGAGTGAAAAGAATGTGGGTGTGAAGGAGGGAGGAATAGGTAGAGCACCAGGCATTTTTAAGACAATGAGATTATTCTGTGTGACACTGCAATGGAGCACACACCACATTATACATTAGACCCAACAGAACTGTACAGCACAAAGAGTGCTTTTGAATGTAAACAATGTACTTTCATTTGTAAGAAGGAAAGAGTATTGGCTCATCACTTACAAATATGTACTGCCCAATGCAAGTTATTGATAGGGAGAACCAGGAATGGGGAGAGAAAAGACATATGGGAATTCTCTGTATTTTCTGACAATTTTTGGTAAACCTAATACTGCTTTAAAAAAATAAAGTCTACTAAAAATAGATCATCTGAATAAGCTTTGGATTCTTATTTCACTATATGCTTATTAGGCTAATCATAATCATAACCATAACTACATCTTATTTAGCCAGCCCTTAAATATGCCAAGCACTATTTTTGTATGCTCTTATTTAATCCCAGCAAAAGTTGTATAAAAAGTTGAGGTCTGAGCAGTTAAAGGAACTTGTCAAAAGTCTCAAAGTCAATACATGGAGGAAGTAGGACTTGAAACCAAGTCTATCCAACCCTAAGCCCATACTTAGAATCACTACACTCTATTGTTCTTCTCCTTTCCAGGTGACAGCAATGGTCAGTAGTCAGTAAGTAGATAATGGGACAAAGCAAGTCTTGACAACTCCTGTAGTTAACCATCCACTCACAATTATTTGCTATATAACAATATTTGCACTTAACTCAAAGAATATAAACATAAGTAAAAGAAACTCCCTGTCCACACAGAGCTCACAATTGGATAGAAGAATCAGATAAGGAGGTGGATGATGATAATAAAAACTCTAGAACCAAGGATCCAGGCACGTTCAGGTCCAGATTGAGATATTATAAGATGGACTTTGGCACAGCCCTCTGGAATGGAGATAATTAGGCAACTTGTCTTAAAGTTGCTTTATATACAACCATAACACCCTAACCATCCAACCTCTAGAGATGGAAGATTGGCAGTATGATAACCCTGGAAGGAAATAAACATATAGAAATCGAAGCAACAGAAAGAAAACTACTAAGATTAAAAAAAAATGAACCAATTTATTAAATGTCTGTGACATGCTGGGCTTCTTTCTAGGCCCCTGATCTATATCTTCTCAATCTCCACAACCATCATCCAGAGTATATATCCTTTGTGCTGATATTTTATAAAGACAGTATAGAGTCACTTGTGTGATAATACTCCTCTGGTTCTTACCTGTGTCTTTCTCCTTATCTCGGGAAAGCTCATGGACCGTGGCACCGATGTCATGCCTCAGGATCTTGATGATGCTGGCCAGAGCAGGCACACTATGCTTATCCAGATTGATGAAAAATTCATACTCATCTTTGTTTAAACGAGAAGGTCTAGATTCAATGTGAGTCAGGTTGATGTCATTCTCCTAGAAGAGAGAATAGTCATTGGGACTAACAGAGGCAAAAGATGCAAAACCAGAACAAAACATACAACACAACAACATGTAGAGCTGAGGAGTGGGATTATTCTTAAGTGACAGAGAAAAAGTTCCTTAATTTTGAAAAAGTTGCTTACTTTTTCTTCTGTAAAACAAATACCAACTGGAAAGAGATGGGAGAAGTAATTCAAATGTCACAGAATTTAATCACATGGAAATCTGGTATCGAACTAGAATTGCCACCATAAGACTTTTTATTTAAATATCTAGAAGAGAGGTTACCAAAAATATTAACACAGGAAAAGCTCCTTTCTCAAGTGAAATAAATAATATAGAAGAAATAAATAATATAGAAGCAATATTTTGTTTGGACCTTTTCCTCAGGATTCAGACTTACTGGTTTTACATCTAAGTTCTACATTATGTTAGCTATGAGACTTTAGATGATTTACATTCATGTTTCTACTTCCTTAGTTTTCCAATCTGTAAGTGGGCAGTCTTAATGATACCTGCTGTATGGTTCTTTTGGGACACTGGACAAAATTATATAAACATATACATACAATGCAGGTCAAGGGTAAATACTCAGCAAAAATGATACAATTTATTTATCTATATATATCCACAGATGTGTGCTTGGTGTTGATTAATGACCAAAACTAATAAAGATGCTTTCCTTTATAAAGACTACATTCAAGTTGAGGGGACATGAACAACAAACATAAAGGATAACTAATTTATGTATTATTTTATAGTGATAAGGGATAAGGAAAAACACAAGTCAAAAAAGGGTAAAGAGGATAGAGAGTCCTGAGTTAGGAAGAGAGTGCACAGCAGTATTTAATAGGGTAGACACATGAGGCCTGTTGAGAAGATAAGACTTTTGTTCTGTACTAAGAGTTCACAGACATGAAGGTCCTATTGTAACCGTGTGCCTCTCCTTTTGAAGAGATAGTCATGAGGCCAGGATGACCAGAGAAGAGGAAGTTAGAGGAAATAACAGAAGTAGTTGAAACAATCCCAAGGGTGGAGGCCAGTTATACAGATTACGTTATGGAATGTGGCTTTGATTCTGAAAGAAATAGAAGTCTTTACAAGTCATCCAATAGACCCATCAAAACTTGCCAGGCAGCCATTGTTGAAATCTAGGTGGGATATGATGGTGGCTGTACCCAAGATAGTGAGGGTGAAGGTAGTCAGAAGAGGTTATATTCTGGATACTTTATGTAATTTCCTCAAGGGACCAAAATTAGCAAGGCACATGAGAAAGATCTGTGGGTGACAAATCTAAATCAGGTCCATTATATCCCATTCTAAACTCAGATTTGATTTTGATTCACTAGGTGACTGAATGAGGATTTCAGAAATCCAAGGAGAAGAACAAAGCACCAAATAAGGCCCTCATATCTCCCTGGAGAGTATCTTCTTAAATCAAATATTGTAGGCCAAGCTAGGTACTACAGTAATGCAAAGATGAAGAAAATATTCCTGATAGAGTTTCTGAGATGGCAGAGGACTAGAAGCTTTCTCCATTTGACTCTGTGACTAAGAGTCTGGAGAGCAAAGAAGAGACTAAATACAGAAGAGCAAGAGAGAGGAAGAACACTGAGAACAACAAAAGAGTAACAGAATAGCTAAAGAATATGGGGAAACAGAAAGACAGCAGAGTAAGTTTGTGGTTCCAGCCTTTGCTCCAGCCCCAAATCCCCTAGAGGGAGGAGAAGTTGAAGCCTACACCTCAAGATAAGCAGGCAGCCTCTTTGACAGACTGGCAGACCTAGCTGTGAGACCAAAACTACACTACCTGCAAACCCTAATCCCAGCACAGGGAGATGACGTGAAGGTGATTTCCCCAGCACAACAGGCCTACAGCATACAAGACAACCCTTCATTCCCCATACTTCACATTGCTGTGGCAAGATGCCATCTGCAAAGAGGGCCTCCCAGTCATGACTGAGGTACTGGTAGAGTGCTGGTGGCTCACACCAGTAATCCTCCTACTCAGGAAGCAGAGATCAGGAGGATCACAGTTCAAAGTCAGCCCTGGGTAAGTAGTTCCTGAGATCCTATCTCGAAAATGCCCTACACAAAACAGGGCTGGTGGAGTGGCTCAAGTAGTAGAGTTCCTGCTTAGCAAGCATGAAGCCCTGAGTTCAAGCTCCACCATCAAAAAAAAAAAAAAAAGACATAGGCACTCAGAGGATCTTGAAAACAAGGAGTAATTGCAGCTCAGGGAGTCTTGAGATTCTTGGCCACAGTGTAAGAGAATGGGCAGCCACAAGAGGCTCATGGAAAAGAAAAGGCTTTGACTTGTGGTGAGCTGAGAAGTTAAAGGGAACTGGGAAAAGGAAAGACTAAGTATTGGTAGTGCCCCACTCCCTACCCACCAAACTGGAAAATTTCCAAAACAAAGCACTAGCCTTCTCTAGCAGAGATCAGATTTCTGAAGCTCCTTGTAGGGAGGCAAGTTTTGAGGCCAAGCATTCTGGAGAATTTGAAAATTCACAGCTTGAAGAGTTCTGGGACTACCAATCACAGTATCCATGTGGAAGCATGCCATCAAAGACACAAACATAGAGAGGGAGAGGGTTGAATCTGGGCAAAATGAGGATTCCTGGCAGGAGCAAAGGAAGCAGCACAAGGCCCAGTGGTCAGGCCTAACCAATCCTACCACAGCAGCTCTATTAAATAAAGTCAATTAAAAAAAAAAAGCACCAATATCCTACTCCCACTGACTGAGAACTCAAGTTAGAGCAGCAGCATGTCTACAAACTGCAAACAGCCAGTGGACCTTTGAAACTGAGCAACTTTGGGGATTGAAAGGGTCACAGCCTGAGGAGTTCCAGGTCTCAGAACCATGTTGTCTACATGGGAGACTGCTGGAGTGTGTCAACCACACTGTCCAAGCTGCCCTTCCCAGAGTGCCCTTCCCTAAGCTAGAGATACATCTCCACCCTCCTGAAGCTGTTCCCAGAACAAGCAAGGCAAAAAGGACCAACTTGGACAGAACACAGGAATACTAATACTTCTCTCCAGTAAGAAACATATATATTTTTCTTTTTTCCCTTCATCTAACTTGCTTTAATTTGGCTATTAATTTTCTTTTCCTTTTTAAAAAAAAATGCATTTCTAATTATTGGAATCTTTTTTTCTCTTTATCTCCAAACCATTTTGTCTCTCTGTTATAAATATATAGAGCTCTCTCACACTATTATCTCCTGCACCTGCCTCCTCTTCTTTCTATGTTCCCACTCCCCTCCATCCCCCATACCCATTCCTTGTATTACTCAATTTCATTTCAACCAGTGTTAAGGTCCCAGATCATCTCCTTAGAAACCAGAGTTTTGCTCCCATACACCCTTAGTAGAGAGACAGATAAGGGTTCCAATTGTTTCTTTCTCCTTCAAATGCTTTATTTATTGCTGAATTGTTAACCTTGTTATTGCAGTAGATTCTCTGCCTATGCAAGGAAGTAAAAGAGAAACTTAGACCAACAGATGCACAAATCACAGTATAGAAATTTAAATATGAAAAACCAATGTCTCCCCTCCAGAACCCCATTATAAGGACTCAACATCTGAATCCAAAGATTATGAATTTCCAAAATGTTTGAGAGAAAATGAAGAAGGCTTCTGTTAACAATGATCAGTATCTCAAAGAGGATTCAAATAAACAGGTAAGTTAGGAAATCAATCTAAAACATAGACAAGAAAGTTGGTAATATGGAAGAGAAATTCAGCAAGGAAATGGAAAATATACAAAATAACCAAGCAGAAATGTTAGAAATGAAAACCTCAATAAATCAAATAAAAAGACACAGTGAATCATATTATCAGCAGACAAGATCAAACAGAAGAAAGAGTATCAGAGATGGAGGCCATGGATGAGGATGCGTTGCACACAAACAATCAAAAAGAAAAAATGAACATATATGATTACAATGCATAAGAAATCTGAGTCATGATCAAAAGGTCAAACCTAAGAATTCATGCTGTGGAAAAAGGAGCTGAAATACAAACTAAACATAGGAATTCAATTAAATCATAGTGGAAAATTTCCCAAGTCTATGTAATTTTATAGGCACCCATGTACAGGAGACATTTCAAACTCCAAATAGAGATGGCCAGAGAAGGACAACCCAACATCATATCATAATTAAAATGATAAGAAAACACACATCAGGAAGACGGCAACTAGAGGGAGGAAGAAAAGCATGCTTCCTAAAGTAAAATCTTGGAGACACACTGGAGATATGCCTTGCAGGAAAAACCACCAAGAAGAGGCAAAACTCCAACACCTCCACACCCCAGCCCTCGCATAGCATCCCCACTCCACGTTAAATGGAGAAACAAGGACCACCAGACACCAGCTCCTAACCTGCTGGACAGACTGACCCCCCACCCAGGGAAAAAAGAGAAAAAAAACCAAACTCAGCAATAAACAAGCAGTGGGAAAAAGAAAAAAAAAATGTAGCAAAGAGGGCGGGGCACCCTAAGCTCTGTAGAGTGGGGGAGGAGCACTCCCCACTCGAACTTTAAATAAACAAGCTGGCTGGAGAAGGCATGTGTGGCACCACCTCGCCCAGTGTGCTTCGAGAGGGGAAGGCTTGTAACAGCGGCTAAAGTGTGGCATGCTCCACTGGAGAGTGGGGGAGGACACCTCCCCACCCGAACTCTAAATAAAAAACAAGACTGCAGTTGCCGGTAGGGCTGTCTACTGGAGAAAACAAAAGGGGCATGTGTCCAGGAGAACTCTAAATAAACAAAGCCTGCCAGGCTAGGTGAGTGTAAAGCTCATTCCTGAGATCTACAATAAATAAAGTCTGCAACAGCACCTGGCTGACAGTAGGTGGCAGGTGAGCTACAGCCTCAGATAGACATTCACAAAGCTGTCTCCAGACTTTTTTTCTCTCTTCCTTTGATGAGACAAGGACAGAACTAGGACTGGATGCTGAAGGACTAACCGAAACTGTATTGCATTTGAACTTG